AAAAAGCGGCTGAACCGCCCCCCCCCCCGCGCGCGACCATCCGCGGCCTCGAGGAATTTTCTCTCACGGTTCATCGAAAGGGGGCGGGGCCAACCAGAGCAACGGCTGCTCAAGCGCAGGTGGCCAACCCACTCCGACCGATAAGCTTACTGGACTTAGGAGGGGGCGTGCCCCGCTGGCTGCGAGTGCCCGTGATAGGCTGAACCCAGAGAGAAAAGGGGGAGGCCCGCAACTAACCGGCCTGCTTGACAGTTGGTCAACCCGAAAGTTTGATTGGGGGAGGTGCGTCCTCGTCATGTTCCACGCCGCGATTGGTTCCCGGTCGCGAGGAAGGGGCGTGTCCCCTCCGGCTGCTGCGGGTCTGGATGGCGGGTGAGGGAGGCTCGGGGTTCCTGTATCGCGAGGCGGTAGTCTCGCGAGGCGGCGCGGGCGGGATTTGGCGGTGGCTGAGGCTGCTGCCTGCTTGCCTCCCTCCCACCCTCCCAACGAGGAGCTGGTGGTGTTTGTGTGGAAGGGGGAGGAGGAGACGGCGGCGAAGGAGGAAGAAGGGAAGTCAGAGGAGCCCGCGTCCCACCGGCGGCGGGCAGGAGAGGGGACCCGAGGCGGAGGCCCACCGCTAGACTTGGGCCCGTTGGTGGTGGTGCCGCTGCCGCCGGCGGCAGCTCCCCGCTACCCCACCATGGCTTCAGGAGATACCTTGTACATCGCCACGGACGGCTCGGAGATGCCGGCCGAGATCGTGGAGCTGCACGAGATCGAGGTGGAGACCATCCCGGTGGAGACTATCGAGACCACCGTGGTGGGCGGCGAGGACGACGAGGACGACGACGAGGACGACTGCTGTGAAGACTGCGGCCCTCACCACCCGCCCCACCGCCACCACCATCATCATCATCACCACCACCACCACCCGCCCATGATCGCCCTGCAGCCGCTGGTCACCGACGGGGACCCCAGCGGCGGCGGAGTCGGGGCCGGCGGCGGCCAGCTCCATCTGCACCACCACCCGCACCACCAGGAGGTGATTCTGGTCCAGACCCGCGAGGAGGTGGTCGGAGGCGACGACTCGGATGGCTTGCGGGCGGACGACGGCTTCGAGGACCAGATCCTCATCCCGGTGCCGGCTCCGGCCGGCGAGGACGAGTACATCGAGCAGACTCTGGTCACCGTCACGCCCGCCGGCAGCAAGGGCGGCTCGGGCGGCGGCTCTTCCTCAGGGGGCGGCCGGGTGAAGAAAGGGGGCGGCAGCGGTAAGAAGAGCAGCAAGAAGAGCTACCTGACGGGAGGCAGCGTCGGCGGGGCCGAAGGGGGCGGCGGCGCCAGGAAATGGGAGCAGAAGCAGGTGCAGATCAAGACCCTGGAGGGGGAGTTCTCGGTCACCATGTGGGCTTCGGGTAAGTGGAGCGGCCGGGCCGGGGCCGGTACCTTGCGGCGGGAACCGGGGAGGGTCCGGGGAGCTTCGAGCGGGGCCGGGCGGGCTCTTCTCCCCGTTTTGTTTTGAAGGGAGGCCATGTTTGGATGTGTGTGATGGGCGCCGCCATGTTCATCTCGCCAGGGCAAGTATGGCGGCTTCCCCCGAAAAGATGGCGGGGTCTGCGCTGCTCCTGCCTGATTGCCCGGCTCCCTCCGGCGGGGGGGAAAAGGGAAAGAAAGATGGCGGCGGCCCCGCCAAGATGGCGGCCGCGTGAGAGAGAGAGGGGAGGGGCGGCCTCGCGCGCTTCCTCTCCCTCCTTCCCTCCCTCCCTCGCTGACTGACTCTTGGACTAGGCCGCAATGGCGTAGTTTCTGCAGTAGGGGGAGGAGGAGGAGGGGAGGCAGCGGAAGGGAGGCGGGGCGGCGCGGCTAGCGGGGCGCTCGGCCGCCCGTCTCGCTTTCTCTCGGCCCTCCAGCGGC